CCCCTCAGACCAAGATCACAAATCCACTGCTCCGAGAGAAATACAAGGTCAAGCATGTGTCCCGCTGAGTGGGTAATCAAGGCGCTCCTGTGACCATCCCATAGGAAGAGGCAGGAGTCCTAGGCATGAGGATTGGTGGATGACAACTGCAAGGGAGAGCTACAGAGGGGTAAGTTGGAGGTGCTGCAGGCAAGCCTGGGAGAGCCCAGGTGGGTGCCATGGGCAAGCATCATGTAGTACAAGCAGGTGGGCAGCTGCTGCGGCCTGTGGGAGCTTTGCAAGAAGCCAGCAGGGAAGGTAAAAAATGATGATCATGTGACTATGGGGTGCTACAACCATTTTAACCATTGCCTGATGGTTTCCAAGTACCTGAATTGTGATCATGAGACCGCTGGGGTCCTGAGACCAGCTCTTGTTCAGCCCCATCATAACTGTGAATGATTGCTGAGTGAGTGGTCACAAGCTTAGGAACACCTGTAGGGGGTCTTGGTTTGGTTTTCTTATGTTATGCTTTCTTTTGCATTATTTAACCTCTCTTCATTTAATTTGGGGATGCTTTTAAATTCTTTTTCTTATAAATTAATTAGCTTATGTATTTAAGTTGGGCAGCTTGTAAATATCTATATAAGCCTAATCTTTTCCCATCTTGTATTCAGAGCTGCCAGTTAGTTGTATACGGACAATAAATTTGTATGTCCTTGTGTATGTTTGAGTCAGCATTGATTCCTGATGGTCAAGGCACCAATCACTGTTGCTTTCTTGGCAAGATTTTGGAAATGGTTTGCCCTTGTTTTGTTCTAGGACTGAGAGAGCGTGAGTGGCTCAAAGTCACCCTGGTGGCTTAGTGCCTAAGGCAGGACTAGAACTCATTGTCTCCTAGTTTCTAGCCTGGTGCTTCAACCACTACAACAAACTGGCTATATTCCAAATCTGACTATGGCAAATGATTACTATCACTGTCAAAAAAATTCTCCTTATTTCAGGTTGCATCTCTTTTTGACAAGTTTCTGAGTACAGAAGGTAGCTCTCTTTTCCATAGCAGAAACAAGACTGGTATTGGGAGGGAACCATTTAGTTCAGGATACTTCTATTTTGAGCCTGGATTGGTACATACACTTCCCCCAGCCCTGGGAGGCCACTTTTCATACATAGATTTTATAAAGGGAGGAGGAAATGAGGATTTTTACACCATGAAGAAGAATCCCATGTTATCCTCACAGGAAAAGAAATGCCATTGTTATATCTTCTCTGTGAGCTGTTCTTCCTTTTGAAGCTATAACCTAGTGGATATAATTTCCTCTGGATACACCCAAGCATCGTCATAGGGCTGACATTCAAAGTTACGCTTAACAAACTCTTCTGAGATTTCTAGGAAGCTCTTTCCTTTCGTCTCCGGGAGGAAAAACCAGACATAGAGAGTGGTTCCAACACAGACCGTGAAGAATGGTAGGTAGCAGTAATAGCCAAGGCTTTCCTGAGAGGAGGAGGAGAGAAGAAAGGGCTCAGCACATGAAGCACATGTTGACAGGGCATGCATGCAAACTTGGCTGTAAAGTAACCCTTGGACTGGTCTGCTCTCTCTTAACAAAAGCACCTGCCCACCTGGAGGAGAAAGCAGCGCCAACCTGCTAGGAAAGGAGATTCTTGGTCAAATGACTGTGTAGAAATTGGGAGGATCACAATTGGCTCTAGAACAGGAGGAACACCAGTCTTGAGTGAGGGAGGGGAGGCTGTTTCTGCTAGGACAATACTTTCCATTGCTAGGACAATAGCTAGAACAATACTTTCCATGGATGGACAGAAAGGATGTCTGCCTGAAAACCACTTGCTCCTAATTCCTGTGTCCCACTAACTTATGCCTTGCAGAAATATAACCAGAAAAGGGCTTACCATCACAAAAGGAAATGCTAGGCCCACTAGAAATAAGTTGATCCAGAGCAGAGAACCGCTGATTGTGTAAGCAGCCGGGCGGGAGACCTGATCAAAAATCTCCGTGGGTATAATTCCTGTCACACCAGCTAGAGAAACCATGCAAATTAAATGTTGCTTTCTAAGAAGGAAGATAAAAATATGGCAATATCAGCCCAGTTTCTGACCTTTCCTAGTGTCAGGCCTGCAGTTATATTCCTTTTAGGATATTTGGCCTGCCACACGCTCTATTATTTCATTATGCTGTTTCATTAGTGTAGTAATTGGGAGGAGGAATAGAAAGGAGTAGAATTGTGAAATGTGTTGTTGTCATTCCTTTCTAGAAACCCAAGGTCATCTTTTCACCTGCCCAGAACCAGCTGGGTGGAGATGCCGAAGAAGATTGGACCATATGATGGATTTATGGG